ACAGACATAAATGATCATTCGCCCACGTTCAAAAGAGATAAAATCCAGTTTGAAATAAGCGAAACAGCTAATACTGGTGCTCGTTTTACATTGACTAGTGCAGAGGATCAAGATGTGGGTGTTAACGGACTCAGAGAATATTTTTTGACCGAGAATGACAATTTTGTTCTGAAGCAAAACTCTAATGCAGATGGAAAGAAATATGCAGAGATGGTGTTACAGAAGCCATTAGACAGAGAAACAAACCCTAGTCTGTCTCTAAAGCTCATAGCCGTAGACGGTGGAACTCCGCAGAGATCTGGTACAGTAAATATAGACATAACTGTTCTTGATGTCAATGATAATGCACCTGTATTTAATCAATCTGTGTACAAAGCCACAGTGCTTGAAAACTCTCCAAGAGATACTTACGTTACCACTGTTAATGCCAGTGACGCTGATTTCGGGTCAAATAGTGTTATAACGTATTATTTTTCAGATCTCAATAGTGGCCTCAGTGATTTGTTTACAGTTAATGAAGAAAGTGGTGTTATTTCAATAACAGGTTTAATTGATTATGAAAAAGACAAAAAGTACGAACTCAGAATCGAGGCAAAAGATCAGGGAGGTTTAACGGATTCAAGTAAAGTAATAATTGAAGTAACTGATGTAAATGACAACGCCCCTATTATTAGCGTTATGTCATTCACTAGTCCTGTGTCAGAAGATGCTCCTTCTGGTACAACTATTGGCATTATAAATGTGAAAGATCTTGATTCAGGTGATAACGGACAAGTGAACTGTAAAATTGAACAAAATGTTCCTTTTAAGATTAGATCTAATTTGAGGAATTACTATACTTTAGTAACCGACACTGTACTAGATCGAGAAAGTGTTTCAGAATATAACATCACTGTTGTTGCGACAGATGCAGGAATGCCTCCTCTCTACACAAAAAGAACATTTAATTTAAAGGTCTCTGATGTGAACGATAATGCTCCAGTGTTTTCACAAGGTGTTTACAATGCGTTTATTACAGAGAATAACTCTCCAGGGGTTTCTGTTCTCATGCTAAGGGCTAGAGACCCTGATGAAAACCAAAATGCACGTATATCTTATATTCTGGAAGATGCTAATATCGGCGGGTCTCCAGTCTCTGAATATGTTTCTGTAAATGCAGAAAGCGGAGTAGTACACGTCGTCAGCTCATTTGATTATGAACAAATCAAACAGCTGGTTTTTGTCGTCAAAGCTCAGGATGGAGGCTCCCCTCCACTCAGTAGCAATGTGAGTGTGAAAATAATGATCCAGGACCAGAACGACAACCCCCCTCAGGTTCTGTACCCTGTCCAGACTGGTGGCTCTCTGGTGGCTGAGATGGTGCCTCGTTCAGCAGATGTGGGCTATCTGGTCACTAAAGTGGTGGCTGTTGATGTGGACTCTGGACAGAATGCCTGGCTCTCCTATAAACTGCAGAAAGCCACAGACAGGGCGCTGTTTGAAGTGGGCTTACAGAATGGAGAAATAAGAACTATCCGCCAAGTCACTGATAAAGATGCTGTGAAACAAAGACTGACTGTTATAGTGGAGGACAACGGGCAGCCCTCTCGTTCAGCTACAGTCATTGTTAACGTGGCGGTGGCGGACAGCTTCCCTGAAGTGCTGTCGGAGTTCACTGACTTTACACACGACAAGGAGTACAATGACAACCTGACTTTTTACTTAGTGTTGGCTTTGGCTGTAGTTTCCTTCCTCTTTATCACGTGTTTAGTGGTTATTATATCAGTGAAAATCTACAGATGGAGACAGTCTCGCGTCCTGTATCACTCCAATCTCCCTGTGATTCCATATTATCCTCCACGTTACTCAGACACTTTGGGGACAGGGACTCTCCAACACGTGTACAATTACGAGGTGTGCAGGACGACTGACTCCAGAAAGAGTGACTGTAAGTTCGGCAGAGCTGGTAGTCAGAACGTGCTGATAATGGACCCCAGTTCTACAGGGACGATGCAGCGGATACAGAGTGAAAAGAGCATCCTGGATGAACCAGACTCTCCTCTAGAGGTTAGTTAAATAAGCCAGCTGGGTCTATATGCGTTTTTTTATCTATCTATCTATCTATCTATCTATCTATCTATCTATCTATCTATCTATCTATCTATTATTGCATTGATAAAAACTGCTGATTCATGTTGTCATTTTCAGCACCATGGACAGCGTAACAGTTTGCATCACCATGTAAAATGCTGTCTGTTAAAGTCTCCATAGATGCAGCTTTTTAAAAGCACATCCTCATGACTTAATCTTATACAAACTTTATTATGTAACTATATTTTATTAGTAAAATTCATTTTGATGGAAACTAAGTTGTCCAATGATGTTCAAACTTCAATTCGCAAAGTTTACTGCCAAATTTTCACTTTGTTGTTTATACAATAATCTTGTTTAATATGAAAGGATGCTGTCTGTTATAATGGCTCTTGGACAAGTTGGTGTAACAATATAGTAATGTTAAAATAATGTTGTGCTGCTGAAAAGCATATTACAGAACCTGAATCCTCCTACAATTCTCTTCAGAATAGTAAAGGGACTAGGCTTCTTTCTGCCTTTTCTGTGTATATTGCTGTTCAACGTGCCCAAACATAATTGTTGCTATCAACTTATTTATTAGGAGAGTGCATTAATTCACATCAGTCTTTATCAGAGTTGTTAAACTTTTGAATCACTGGGAGTCATTAATATGGTCTTAGAATTCAAATGTTCATATTTCCCTTAAAGACAACAATTATATATATGTTTTATTTTAAATAAGTTGTCTAGTTCTTTTCTTTCGGATCCAGTCAACTGTTTGTGAATCGTTTCAGAATGAAATTTAATTTTCAGTTATTTTTGACAGAGCGTTTTGCGTAATTTTTTATGATATAATATGCTGAGTTGAAACGTGTTTTAATTTATAGTTTTCTTAATAGTCATTCCAAAGTGATTTCCATACGAGGTGTGTTCAGTTTGTCTATATACAAGTCTAAGTATAGCAGGGGCCTCATTTGTTGTTCAACTTTTAGGCTCTGAGGGACGCTGTTGGTCAGCAAAAATAATTTCTCTCTTCTGTCGTCATTCAGTCCATCCCCGACTGACTACACAGTGAAGAAGGCTCTTTCTGTTTTATCGAGGTTCAGAGCGAACGTGTTCTCACACACTTGCATATAAACGTTGAAGACGTCTCTAGGTGTTACCAGGAAACGGATTTCACAATCTGATTTACCGTCATATCAGTTGGATTTTCATTCTTTGTTGCCACGATGGCAACACGAGAATTTCTCACCAACATATCCGCAAGATGGCTATTGTTTTATGGACTGCGACGGCAAATAGGACTGCTTTTGTTGCTGCTTCATGTTGTTAACATGGTAGGTGGTCAGATTCGTTATTCTATACCAGAGGAGATGAAGAAAGGCTCTGTTATTGGTAACGTTGCACAAGATCTTGGTGTGAATTTGAAAAGGCTTCGTTCTGGGCGGGCCCGTATCGTGACCGGAGAAAATATCCAGTACACCGAGCTGAAGACAGACAAAGGGATTCTCGTCGTGAATGAGAGAATAGACCGAGAGGAGCTCTGTGGAGACGTAACGCCGTGTAGCTTCAGCTTTGAGGTTATTTTAGAAAATCCAATGGAGCTGCACAGAATAACTGTGGAGGTTTTGGATATAAATGATCACGCTCCCGTCTTCCCAAATAGAGATACTCCTATCCGCCTCGAAATAAGTGAATCAGCTGTAGTTGGAGTTCAGTTTCCACTGCAGAGTGCAGAGGATCTAGACGTGGGGCAAAACGCGCTTGAAGATTATGTTTTGTCACCCAACGACAATTTTATTTTGAAGCAACATGCAAATCCAGATGGCAGTAAATATGTTGAAATGGTGCTCCAGAAGCCTTTAGATAGAGAGCGACATCCACATTTGACTTTAAAATTAATCGCAGTGGACGGAGGAACTCCACAGAGATCAGGTACAGTGAATATAGATATTACCGTGTTAGATGCTAACGACAACGTTCCGGTTTTTAACCAATCCGTGTATAAAGCATCTGTGATGGAAAACACGATGAAAGGCACTAGTATTGTTACAGTAAATGCCACAGACGCGGACAGCGGTTCAAATGGACTCATTACTTATAGTTTGTCTAAAATGAAAGGGAGTGCAGCAAATATATTCAGTATTGATGAAATCACAGGAACAATTTCTGTCGCTGGTCAAATAGATTATGAAAAAGACAGAAAATACGAGTTGAGGGTCGAGGCAAAGGATCAGGGTGGCTTAACGGGAACAAGTAAAGTTATAATTGATGTTTTTGATATTAACGACAATGCTCCAGTTATAAATAGTATGTCATTTTCCAGCCCTGTATCCGAGGATGCACCCCCTGGTACAACGATTGCTATTTTAAACATAAAAGATGCCGATTCTGAGAAAAATGGGCAAATCAAATGTTCTATAGATGGAAAACTTCCCTTTAAGATCGAATCATCTATAACAAACTATTACAATTTAATCTCAGATCAGCATTTTGATAGAGAATCCGTCTCAGAATATAATATAACAATAACAGCCACGGATTTAGGGACTCCCCCTCTTTCCAGTTCAAGAAAACTACATCTTAAAATATCTGACGTAAACGACAACCCACCATTATTTGATAAAAACAGCTATTCTTCTTATATCACAGAGAATAATTCCCCCGGAGTTTCCATATTTGCTCTTAGCGCCCGAGACTCTGATTGGAATCAAAACGCTAGAATATCGTATCTTTTAGAGGAAATACAAGTCAATGGTAGTCCAGTTTCTACCTATGTGTCTTTAAACTCTGAAACTGGAGTCCTTAACGCGGTCCGTTCCTTTGATTATGAGCAAATTAAACAGCTCCAGCTAGTAGTCAAAGCTCAGGATGGAGGCTCCCCTCCACTCAGTAGCAATGTGAGTGTGAAAATAATGATCCAGGACCAGAACGACAACCCCCCTCAGGTTCTGTACCCAGTCCAGACTGGTGGCTCTCTGGTGGCTGAGATGGTGCCTCGTTCAGCAGATGTCGGCTATCTGGTCACTAAAGTGGTGGCTGTTGATGTGGACTCTGGACAGAATGCCTGGCTCTCCTATAAACTGCAGAAAGCCACAGACAGGGCGCTGTTTGAAGTGGGCTTACAGAATGGAGAAATAAGAACTATCCGCCAAGTCACTGATAAAGATGCTGTGAAACAAAGACTGACTGTTATAGTGGAGGACAACGGGCAGCCCTCTCGGTCAGCTACAGTCATTGTTAACGTGGCGGTGGCGGACAGCTTCCCTGAAGTGCTGTCGGAGTTCACTGACTTTACACACGACAAGGAGTACAATGACAACCTGACTTTTTACTTAGTGTTGGCTTTGGCTGTAGTTTCCTTCCTCTTCATCACGTGTTTAGTGGTTATTATATCAGTGAAAATCTACAGATGGAGACAGTCTCGCGTCCTGTATCACTCCAATCTCCCTGTGATTCCATATTATCCTCCACGTTACTCAGACACTTTGGGGACAGGGACTCTCCAACACGTGTACAATTACGAGGTGTGCAGGACGACTGACTCCAGAAAGAGTGACTGTAAGTTCGGCAGAGCTGGTAGTCAGAACGTGCTGATAATGGACCCCAGTTCTACAGGGACGATGCAGCGGATACAGAGTGAAAAGAGCATCCTGGATGAACCAGATTCTCCTATAGAGGTGAGGGGCAATATGCTAAGTCTTGTTTTTGTGAAATGAAATTGCAATAAGTAGTTGTCTGCTGTTTAGCCGAACAAAAGTGCACCCGGTTCATTTCAGCACCACAGTGTGGACAGCACCTCTTTAACTGAAAGTGCTCTCTGGCTTGAAAGCTTTCCACTTTCCTCTGAATGTATATAAGTTCTAACATCTGTTAATAATACTACTAATGACAATCACAATACATTTATTTTCTCACTATTATTGTTAATTATTGTCATCATTATTATTATTAGTAGTAGTATTAGTAACACGTTTAACATTTAAGACAATGAACATTATTTGACAGGTTTTTAAATATTTGCAAATGCAGTTTACCCTGCAGAATTAGGTCAATGTTCTTCTTCTTCTACCTATTATTATTATTATTATTATTATTATTATTATTATCAAAGGCCTTGATGTTGCAGACATCAGTGTTTATCCGCTTTGCTCTTATTACTAGCTTCATTATTTACTTCCAGCCCTTTTGGTGTTCACGTTTTGGACTCTAAGTGACGCTGTTGAACAAGAATATAATGTCTATCCATAGTCTCTCTTCTGTAGTGCAGGCTTGTTCTTTTTAAGATCACATTAAGCTAGGCTCCGAGGGAACAGCAAGAAGCTTATAAATCTCGGCAAATAACGTGTTGTTTTTTGTAGTCTTTGCTCGTGTTTTCTAGTGTTTTCTAATATATACAAAGCACATCTGGAAGAGTGGATGATATTGAATTCAAGTTGGAGGATTTTCGTTCTTTTTCTTCAGAAAATGTCCCTTTCCGACATGGCGTATCAGCAACCACTCAGCAAATGCCGTTTACATGTCGGACCTCAGCGGGTGATGCTTCTTCTGTTGTTTTACTTCTTTAATGTTGTCGCTGGTCAGATCCGCTACTCTATCCCAGAGGAAATGAAGAAGGGCTCTCTTATCGGTAATGTAGCACAGGATCTGGGTTTGGATGTGAAAAGGCTCCGTTCTGGTCGGGCCCGTATCGTGACCGGAGAAAACATCCAGTATACGGAGCTAAAGACAGACAAAGGGATTCTCGTCGTGAATGAGAGAATAGACCGAGAGCAGCTTTGTGGAGACGTAACGCCGTGTAGTTTCAGCTTTGAAGTGATTTTAGAAAACCCGATGGAGCTACACCACATAACAATTGAGGTGTTAGATGTAAATGATCATCCTCCGGTGTTCAAGAAATCGGATATTATGTTAGACATAAGCGAGTCAGCTAATCTTGGGGCGCGATTTGTGCTCGACAGTGCAGAGGATCCTGATGTTGGCGTCAATGGCTTACAGAATTATGTTTTAACCTCAAACGACAATTTCGTTTTAAAACAGCATGTAAATCCAGACGGGAGTAAATATGCAGAGATGGTGCTTCAGAAGCAATTAGACAGAGAGGAGGTTCCCCATCTTTCTTTAAAGCTTATAGCGGTAGATGGTGGGAATCCACAGAGATCTGGCACAGTAAATATAAACATAATAGTTTTAGATGCCAATGACAATCCTCCGGTTTTCAACCAGTCAGTTTATAAAGCCACAGTGATTGAAAATGCAGCAAGGGGCACTAATATCGTTACTGTTAATGCTACAGACGCAGATAGCGGGTCGAATGGTTACATCACATATTCAATTTCAAACGTGAAGAGCAACATAGCTGATTTGTTGTCCATAGATCAAGTCTCTGGTGCATTATTTGTTTCAGGTCCTATAGATTTCGAAAAGGATAAAAAATATGAGCTTAGAATCGATGCAAAAGATCAGGGAGGTTTAACGGATTCAAGTAAGGTAATAATTGACGTAACTGATGTAAATGACAACGCCCCTATTATTAGCGTCATGTCATTCACTAGTCCTGTGTCAGAGGATTCTCCTCCAGGTACAGCTATTGGCATTATAAATATAAAAGATCTTGATTCTGGGGATAACGGACAAGTGAATTGTAAAATAGAACAAAATGCACCTTTTAAGATTAAATCTAGTTTAAGGAATTACTACACTTTGGTGACAGACACTGTATTAGATCGTGAAAGTGTTTCAGAATATAACATCACTGTTGTTGCGACAGATGCAGGAATGCCTCTTCTCTCAACAAAGAGAACATTTAATTTAAAGGTCTCTGATGTGAACGATAATGCTCCAGTGTTTTCACAAGGTGTTTACAACGCGTTTATTACAGAGAATAACTCTCCAGGGGTTTCTGTTCTCACTGTTAGGGCTAGAGACCCTGATGAAAACCAGAACGCCCGTATATCTTATATTCTGGTGGATTCTGATCTTGACGGTTCTCCAGTGTCTCACTGTGTGTCAGTGAATGCAGAAAGCGGAGTCATACACGCAGTGCGCTCATTTGATTATGAGCAGGTCAAACAGCTGGTTTTCGTTGTCAAAGCTCAGGATGGAGGCTCCCCTCCACTCAGTAGCAATGTGAGTGTGAAAATAATGATCCAGGACCAGAACGACAACCCTCCTCAGGTTCTGTACCCAGTCCAGACTGGTGGCTCTCTGGTGGCTGAGATGGTGCCTCGTTCAGCAGATGTGGGCTATCTGGTCACTAAAGTGGTGGCTGTTGATGTGGACTCTGGACAGAATGCCTGGCTCTCCTATAAACTGCAGAAAGCCACAGACAGGGCGCTGTTTGAAGTGGGCTTACAGAATGGAGAAATAAGAACTATCCGCCAAGTCACTGATAAAGATGCTGTGAAACAAAGACTGACTGTTATAGTGGAGGACAACGGGCAGCCCTCTCGTTCAGCTACAGTCATTGTTAACGTGGCGGTGGCGGACAGCTTCCCTGAAGTGCTGTCGGAGTTCACTGACTTTACACACGACAAGGAGTACAATGACAACCTGACTTTTTACTTAGTGTTGGCTTTGGCTGTAGTTTCCTTCCTCTTCATCACGTGTTTAGTGGTTATTATATCAGTGAAAATCTACAGATGGAGACAGTCTCGCGTCCTGTATCACTCCAATCTCCCTGTGATTCCATATTATCCTCCACGTTACTCAGACACTTTGGGGACAGGGACTCTCCAACACGTGTACAATTACGAGGTGTGCAGGACGACTGACTCCAGAAAGAGTGACTGTAAGTTCGGCAGAGCTGGTAGTCAGAACGTGCTGATAATGGACCCCAGTTCTACAGGGACGATGCAGCGGATACAGAGTGAAAAGAGCATCCTGGATGAACCAGACTCTCCACTAGAGGTTAGTTCAGTTTTATCACCTGAGTCAATTATACAATCTTTGGTGCTGTGCGCCTCAAATTCAATTTTCCTTCTTGTTGACTGTGTACTTTGTATGTTCACTCAACTGCCAGCTGTTTTAAATAAATGATTAAATAACTAACATATATCTGTGATTAAATATTTTACTGAATTAGGGCTCAGTAACAAAGTCCATAATATTCATGTTTTTATGTAACAAAAATCAAGTGGTACATTGTTTGTGTTTGCAAACGCAGTGACTGAGTTTAATTTGACATCAGTATTTTATAGTCTGATTTTCCACACCTTCACTCTGGGTCCTACTCTCCTTTCACTTCATTCGTAATGCTGCTTGATTGAGTACCACAGACAGCGACATTATTGTTCTTTTATTAGTAATCCATTGCCCTTTGGAAGTCATTTGATGTCTAACTGCTTAGTGCTGTTGCTTCAATTGACCTGTTGAGTCCGTCTTTTCACAATTATTACGCAAATGTAGTAATATTAATTGATTGAGCAGCAGCTGCAAATATTCACAGGGGATCAATGCTTAGCTTCTTACTCCCAGTATGAGAGAGTTCAGATTTTGGACTCTAAGTGACGCTGTTGGTCAGCGAAACGTTTCAGTGATAACAGCCAGCCTATAACCCTCCCTCACTACCGTTCTTAAGCATGACAGCAGTGATACTGTCCTTCGTGGGAGGACAGGGAGTGAAGAGACGCTTTCTTACACATCGTTCTGTGGAATATACCAGGATCACGTTTTTATCTAAACGTAGTACAATATATTTATCGTGGACTACAACCTCACGTTTATTTTCTTCAAGTGAGGAAGCTTCAGGCATCAATATCTATTGTTTCTGATATGGCAGCCCGAGGCCAGCTCTACCCGAGACGTGTAAGATGGCGATGTTCTTTCATATTACGATGTCAAGTTGGATTTCTCATTGTGCTCACTTTTATGGCTGATCGAGTGGCTGGACAGATTCGTTATTCTATTCCAGAGGAGATGAAAAAAGGCTCCCTCATTGGCAATGTAGCACAAGACCTCGGTCTGGATCTGAAAAGGCTCCGTTCTGGCCGTGCCCGGATCGTGAGTGGAGAAAACATCCAGTACACCGAGCTGAAGACAGACAAAGGGATTCTAGTAGTGAATGAGAGAATAGACAGGGAGCAGCTTTGTGGAGATGTGACACCGTGCAGCCTCAGCTTCGAAATCATTTTAGAAAATCCAATCGAACTTCATCGTGTCACTGTGGAAATTTTTGATATAAACGATAATACCCCCTTCTTTCCAAATAAAGACATCCAGTTTGAAATGAGCGAATCTGCTACAATCGGCGCAAAATTTCCCGTTGAAAGCGCAGTTGATCCTGATGTTGGACTAAACGCATTACAAAATTACATTCTGTCTCCGAATAATTATTTCAGTCTGAAACAACACACTAATCCAGACGGCAGTAAATACGCTGAATTGGTGCTTCAGAAGCCATTAGACAGGGAGGAACACCCCAGTCTCCTTCTAAAAGTAATAGCTGTCGACGGAGGAAACCCACAGAGATCTGGTACAGTGGACATAAATGTATCTGTTTTAGATGCAAACGATAATGCCCCTGTATTCAATCAGTCGGTTTATAGGGCTGCTGTGGTGGAAAATGCGCCAAAGGGGACTTATATTACAACAATTAACGCTAGTGATGCAGACATTGGCAGTAACGGAGAAATAATATTCAGTTTTTCGAAAGTAAAAGGCACTACGGTTGGTATGTTTAGTATCGATGAAAACACAGGTGTCATATCAGTTGCTGGACTTATAGACTTTGAAAAAGAGAAAAAATATGAGCTTAGGTTAGAGGGGAAGGATCGAGGAGGTTTGACTGGAACCAGTAAAGTTATAATTGATGTTAGTGACGTAAATGACAATGCCCCAGTCATTAATATCATGTCATTTTCTGACATTGTAGCAGAAGATTCCCCCCTCGGCACAACAATTGCTGTTATCAATGTAAAAGACGCTGATTCGGAGAAAAATGGACAGATACAATGTGCCATAGATAAAACGCTTCCATTTAAAATCCAGTCATCATTAACAAACTACTATAATTTGGTGGCGGATCAGCATTTCGATAGAGAGACAACTTCTGAATACGATATTATAATAACAGCCACAGACTCAGGGTCCCCTCCTCTTTCTAGCTCCGTCACATTGCAACTTCGAATCTCTGACGTAAACGATAACGTTCCATTGTTCCACAGAAACTCGTATTCTGCTTACGTCACAGAGAACAATTCCCCTGGAAACTCCATAACGACTGTGAGCGCGCGAGACTCTGATTGGAATCAAAACGCGAGAATCTCCTATTTTCTGGAGGACACACAGATCAGCGGTAATCCGGTGTCTAACTATGTGTCCATAAACTCTGAAACTGGCGTCTTACACGCGGTGCGTTCATTTGATTATGAGCAAATTAAACACCTGCAGCTAGTAGTCAAAGCTCAGGATGGAGGCTCCCCTCCACTCAGTAGCAATGTAAGTGTGAAAATAATGATCCAGGACCAGAACGACAACCCTCCTCAGGTTCTGTACCCAGTCCAGACTGGTGGCTCTCTGGTGGCTGAGATGGTGCCTCGTTCAGCAGATGTGGGCTATCTGGTCACTAAAGTGGTGGCTGTTGATGTGGACTCTGGACAGAATGCCTGGCTCTCCTATAAACTGCAGAAAGCCACAGACATGGCGCTGTTTGAAGTGGGCTTACAGAATGGAGAAATAAGAACTATCCGCCAAGTCACTGATAAAGATGCTGTGAAACAAAGACTGACTGTTATAGTGGAGGACAACGGGCAGCCCTCTCGTTCAGCTACAGTCATTGTTAACGTGGCGGTGGCGGACAGCTTCCCTGAAGTGCTGTCGGAGTTCACTGACTTTACACACGACAAGGAGTACAATGACAACCTGACTTTTTACTTAGTGTTGGCTTTGGCTGTAGTTTCCTTCCTCTTCATCACGTGTTTAGTGGTTATTATATCAGTGAAAATCTACAGATGGAGACAGTCTCGCGTCCTGTATCACTCCAATCTCCCTGTGATTCCATATTATCCTCCACGTTACTCAGACACTTTGGGGACAGGGACTCTCCAACACGTGTACAATTACGAGGTGTGCAGGACGACTGACTCCAGAAAGAGTGACATGAAATGTATGCAACCGATGAGTCAAAGTTTAGTTAGTGTGGATGGAGCTGAGACTGATACTTCGCAGGTGGACCAGCAACTGTCTGGAAACTTTTCTCAAATGTCAACTTTGGTGAGTGATATATTTAATATTTTGTTCTCCTTTCTCCTTCTCGTATTCCTTTGGGTGAAAGTATTTGGTGCATGCGCACTGCTGCCAGTAGAGCCTCAGTGTCGCTGTCCGTGGTGCTGGAACTGTCGATGGATTCATATTGAAATAACTTTCTCTATGCTGCGTGTTGTACTGATATGGAAGAATATTATATAAAAGACAAAAGACAGAAAACGGCATTACTTTAAAAAAATCACACAATAGGACCATTTTATATAGGGTTTTGCACACACATCCATTATTATGTTTAATTTAATTTAAGTGTTATCAACAGTTTTGCAAGATATTTTTCTACAAGGAGTTCTCAAGGTGTTTTTCAGCAAACGGTAGTTGTTTTATTGAGAAAACGAACAGTGTATTTTCCAGAGTGAAGTAAAAATTATATGGCAGCTGAAAGGGACAAAAAAATACAATTTCTCCAAACCTTTTTTTCCTTGCTCATCCAATCGTTCAGAATTCATAATATAGTAGGATTTCTTTGGTGAACGTTCATATATATGTATTTTTTCAACTAATTTATTTCGTAGATCACTCATTAGTCTTTCACCATGCAGCATCATGAGTTAACTTTAAGTCTTGAATACATTGGGAAACAACGTGATTTTAATAAGATCAGAAATTTTCAGATCATTTTGTGTCTTGTCACTATTAACATTCCTCTAGGATTGATTTTAGGTCTGCTTTGTTAAATTTTAATAGTTATATTTATTACATAATTGTGTGAGTTTTTAATACAGCATTTAAACTGTTCCTAATAATGTGCACATCACATACATTACCGTGGATGGGCTCTGAGCGCCGCTGTTGATACATCACTGACTAGCTGTCCAAATCAGTAGTGCGGCGGTCCACCCCTTTAATTCATTCCAGTGTTTTACTGCTTGGAGAGAAGACGGTCTGGTGTAGCTTTTTTCGCGGAATTTCTCAGCTGAAAGACAATATTGCCTTCTCAGTTTATGGATTTAATTATACCAGTTTAGTATTGAAAGGGATTACTGCGTCTGTATCTCTGGATTTATGATGGCTTGTACGTGGATAACCACTCTCAGAGGTCGATGGCAAGCGCTGTTTGCCATTCTTTGTCTTTTCAAGCTGAGCTCAGTGACCGGACAGGCTCGGTATTCCGTACCAGAGGAGCAGGCAGAAGGGTCTTTTGTTGGAAACATCGCTAGAGATTTAGGTTTGGATGTGGCGAGGCTCGTATCAGGTAAAGCTCGTATTATTACAAAAGGAAGTCGTCAGTATGTTGATTTAAACCGAGACAAAGGCAGTCTAGTTATTAAAGAGCGAATCGACCGAGAAGATCTGTGCGGAAAGACGACGCCCTGTAGCTTCAGCTTCGAGGTCATTTTAGAAAATCCAATCCTGCTTTATCGTGTAACAGTGGAGGTAATAGACATAAACGATAACAGTCCGTCGTTCCCAAAGGATGAAATCAGTTTGAAAATCGTTGAAAGTGTTACGTCGGGGACGCGTTTCACTTTAGTGAGTGCAGACGACCCTGATGTTGGTATTAATGATATTCAAAAATACGTGCTTAAACCCTCAGATCATTTCAAATTGGAAGTACAGAGTCAGCCTGATGGAGGAAAATTTATCGAAATGGTTTTACAAAACCCGTTAGACCGAGAGAAAGAGGAGACACACACACTCGTGCTGATTGCTTCAGATGGAGGAGAGCCACATAGATCAGGGACGGTGCGTATTCATATCACTGTTCTTGATGCTAACGATAATGCTCCAATGTGCAGCCAGCCTATTTATAAAGCAGATGTCAAGGAAAATTC